TATTTGGGTTTAATACAGATTAAATATAAAGACAATAAGAGACAATGTTATGGAACTTAAATAAGTGGAGTGAAAAAGAAAACAGAGTCGAAGAGCAGTTTAGTGAATGCAGATAACTGGCTCATTGAAAAATTTTACATTACATTTATCAATGCCAACAGACTCACATTATTATGTCTGAATGAAGAAAATTATTATTGATGAGGTAACGTTCAGTTTTAAATGAGTGCTTAGTTTTGCCCCATTAGAAACTCCTGAATGTCTGAGTAAGCAGGCAGTTATCCAGGCTGATGAAGCATAGCATAGCAAATGAAATTACAGCTACTGAAGGCTAAATTTCGATCCTTTATGTACCTTCATATGTTGGCACTTTAGGGGTCTAATCAGCGGTTTAAGGCTTTGATTACAATCAGTAATTTACACATTGCCACGATTCTGTAGATTGATTGTGTGATTTTCTTAACAAACTAGCCACAATTAAAAATAATAATCCTTATTTCCACGAGTCACTTTTATCTTTGTTTGCTCTTTTTTTTTTTTTTTTTTTTTTTTTGTGTGTGTGTGTGTGTGTGTGTGTTTTGTTTTCGTGTGCATTTTTAGCTATTATTGTCCTATTTCAATTTCCGTTTGATGTAATACAATATCTTTCTTACGGATGGCTTTCATTTCAAATGCCTTTTTGCTCTTCATTCACATGAGTTTTGTAGGTTTACGCATTAGATGCATTTAATGTTAATGAGTTTTACTCATTTTCAGTTTTTGAAAATAGTTTGAGCTTAAGCATTGTTATTACAAGAAATAACAAAAGTTTCCTTGCTTTTACTGATAGCATACACAACTGATAGGATAGGTCTTACCTTACCGCTAACAAATAGTACATTACTCTGTAACTGGCTGTGATTTTCTCTTCACTGCAACCTTTTTATGTGTGTATGTTTATTATAGATTCCATGTTAGCGAATCCAACTTTCTTTTCACTGTCACTAGCCAATTTCAAGGGAATCAGGAAAACGTAAGAAATTATTCAAAGATAAAATATTACGTAAACTTTACTGTTTATTCATCACTGACCATAAAAAAAAATGGATATACTGAAAGTTAAGCCACCATAGCTACCTGCTTTCTACCTAAATTGAATTTATGAAAAGCTGTACCTTTATTTTATTGTCTTCTTTTCTTTTGCCGGCTCAAACTTCAGTCCTATGAAAATGGATACGCAAGTCAGGGAGCCGTATTGTAGGTTCCTTTCCTACCATAACTTCCTGTCATATTGGTAACTATGATAACATTTGCTCCAGTCTCATCTAAAGCAGATCGCAACTTTTCAAAAAATAATTCAAATTACAGTGAAGGGAAAGCAATTTGAGTGTAATATTATGAACTAAAATTCTTTAGAGTAAAAGCAGTTTCTCCACATATTCCTCACAGACCTCTGATTTCTCATATCCTTAAAAACGGTTGCAAACTCTTTGAAAGGTATTTTTTACTCTTTTCGTATTGTCTCTAAAAGTATATTTTAGTAATACTTTGTTAATATGATGCATATAATTTTTATCCAATTTATGCACATTACTTATACAAAATTTCTGATAAGCTAACTGACTGTAAATTAAACTTACTGTAAAAATACAGGGAATACACTGGCAAAAAAAATATTCATATATCGAGAAAGGAAAAATTTTAAATACATTGAGAATTTATTTATATATATATTTTCAAGAAACATATTTTCTTCTAATTATATAAATATTAATTAAATTATTTATAAATGTATCTGAAAATGAACGATTTATTCATTCATTAACTTCTATGAAAGTTCAAGAAATTTAGTTATTAAATGTATATTATGTAATGATTAAAATTTAATTATAAGCATAAGTATTATTGATAGATAGCTAGATTTATCAAATAGATATAGCTTGATTTATATTTTTTTTATTCGTACTGTAAAATAGTCTGTTAATAGGTTATGAAAAGCATGAAGCATGAAATGCTACGCGTACTTATGACAATTTAGAATATGTATTGTTGAATAATAATGACAAAATTTTGAAAATCATAAAATAATTATTTCCATCCAGTTGTAATTCTTAAGAATATTAATATTCTTTTTTTGCTCTCTCCGCCTCCGTCAGGTCCCATAGAAATCAGAAATCAGCAGTAATATTTTTAACATATTTAACTATCAAAGTTTTGTTTTGTTTTGTTTTGTTTTGTTTTTTAAAGAGAGACTGATTAGTGTAAATATGATTTTTGGCCTTTCTGAAGTGTCGTACAAAAATAAAAGGGGGGACTTCAAAAAAGCTAAAAATCATCTCATATTTGAGAAAATATTTCAGAAAGAGACTTTTTAAACAGAAAAGAAATAATGCGCCATTTTGATATTAACCATAGCTTAAAACTTTGATTTTAATTTTTCTAATAGTTCTGCACATAAAAATTTCTCTCTAACGGCATTAACGAAAACTTGTGAAAACATTTCATTCAAATTAAAACTCTTCTGAGCACACTAAATATAGTATAATTTAATTTCGTTTAGAATGAAATACTGTTTTAAAAAGCAATTTTTCAAATAGTTAGGACGCTGAGATATTGTAGAAAAAGAAAATATATACATTTATACTTATATTTATGACTTAATCGCTGAATATTTATCGCCGAACGTGGGAAAACCCTGGGCTTAATGACAAACCACCGAATGTTTTGATCAAGGAGGTTGGAGTAAAAGCCTCTCCCGTATGTCCTGTGTAATGAAAAGGAACCATATCATGAAACGTCATGGTGTGACGTCATGACTCATCATGGCCGCTGTCAGCCATAAGAGAAATGTATATATGGTAAAACTTAGAAAAATCAATGAAAGTTTTAATATTATTTTTTGCAAATTATGCGTACAGACACCTTTTTGAGCCTAGGTACGTTGATATTTGCTCTTAAAAATCAGTGCAATTTTATTTATCAATATGATTCTTAGTTTTATCCGTAAGCCACACGACGGCCATGATAAGACGTGACGTCACGTTTTTGACATTCCCTTGGCTTCACTTTCGTGACGTCATGCTTACTCTATCTATTCTCACGTCCTCAGTTTTGATAAGCAAGATTTGTGTGTCACCACTTCAAACCAGTTGAACAGGACAAACCGTTCAAAGTCTGTCCTTTTATTTCTTCCTTCGTGCGTTATACATGCGGATACTTGGTGTTACGCAACACATCAAATTTTCTTACCTAAGATGCTTTATGGGGCAATAAGGTTCCTAACAGCGATGCAGACAAAATGCCTAGGACCACTGGGATTCTGCACGTGCTCTGTGTGGCCATCCTAGACTGCAGATTTTCATAAAGTCATAAGCTCACAAGGGGGTTCAACAGTCTCACAATACGACAATCTGTTGTCCCGATAGATTACAATCTTGGGCGTTCAAGTCCCGAGAATGCTTGTAAAAGTTCCTTCTTTTTACACAATTATTTATGGGGCAATAATACGACTTTCAGCAGAAAAACAACCAGTAAACGAATGAAAAATCGTTATTTCAATCTGCCTTTTTATACAGCTTAGAGGCGTCATTACTATTTCTTGTGATGTGAGCATGACAAGAAATACTAATTTTTTATCAGTATGTTCTACCTTTCATTCCGCAAGCGGCCTAGCGGTAAAATCACTAAACACTGGTAATTCCGACCTGGGTTCGATTCCAGACGAAAGGGCATCTTCGTGGTTTTCCCCATCTGTAACGTATATACGAGCCAGTTTGCTTTACAAAATTCTCCACGAAAGCATTCTTCCTCATAGGCAGATAGCCCTAGTGTGCTTTGTCGCAATCTATTAAACCAAACCAGTCTAACTTTCATGCAATCTTAGGGTCGTTGCTAACGTTTTTGATGGTTTAGAGCAGTGTATTAATCAAAACAAGCCACTAAATATTAATCGGTGAACGAGTAGTTATACTAGTTTACTATGCTGCTTTACTTCTCAGTTGGATTACCTTATTTAGCTTATTCAGATTAAAATAATAATGCTTAGTTTCAAATAATAAACCTCATAAGAAGACTTAAAAATTTAATCAAGCGTTTTGTCCAGTTTTGTGAGCTTTGTTTGGTACCATGAATAATAAAATTCACTCTGCGCTGAAGCTTTGTTTTCAGTTACTTCTTAGACTACATCAACATATCTTTCATTTCTTCTTATTCATTTTCGTTACTGCTGAGGAAAAAACATTAATTTCGTCACCCAATTTGAACGCTTACCGCGTATTAACAAGAAAATCAACTTGTTTAGTAGTAACTTTTATGAAATGATTTTAGAAGTTTATTTCAATTTTTACTTTGCTACAACTTTGTGACTTAATAACACTATTTTGCTGCAGAACCTAGAATAGCAATTTTAATCGAATATAAAGAAATTGCGCCTTGTAAATGAGACCTAGCATGGATTTTTCAACTTTATCTGATTTACTTTTATTTCATTTCCTTTTCATACGTGCATGGATATTTATGCGAACTATCAAGAATTTTGCTTCGAGCTCGTAACAGCTTCCAATCAATAAATCAATAAAAGTACCATCAGATCTGTTTGATCAGTTTCCTGAATTAATTATAACTCTTTTACCATAAGAAATTGGTAACAACAAATGTAATGAAAAAGTATGTGTGTACTTATAATGTATTTTTCTTCCTCTTTTCTACGTTCCTTCGTGGTGTACTGCAGAGCACATGAGGGCTATCTGCCTAAACTTCATTTGAAGCCATATTTAAACTTCAGGTAAAATGAATTCGTTGCACATAATGCACATTTAAAAGGTAAAAACATGTTAACTTTTTAAAATTGCTCCAAAAAAGAGAAAGCATCTAAATCCTTAAAATTAGGCCTAAGATATTTTATAATTTCGGTTTATATATTTGAATAGATTTTATTGCCTTTGTACGCACTTGGGTGAGAACTTGAAGTTATTTAATGTAATAATTAAAATAAACTTTGGTTTAAATTTGTTACTTTTCACAAAGAAATTTGCACTTTTTAACATACAGGAAGATAGAGTACGAATGGGCATGGAGCGCATATCCTCCGCTCCGAGGTTAAGTTTTTCAACCCAAGATGTCTTCAATCTGAGGAATCACAAACTATCGCAGCTATCAAGCTCCTCGCCAGGAATTTACAGCTCACAGAAGAAAGGATTGGATTCTATGAATCAGCAGGTCAGTCTCAGATCGGAGACATCGACGCCAAGAAGTATTCTAATCAAGTCAAATGAAGCAAGTCCAGGTTTGACTTTTGGGTTGATATATAAACATTTTGAGGAAACTTTAAATTAATAAAGATTTAAGTTGGCGGATCAATAAGTTGTCTCTAATAATTATTTATTAAATTATCAGAATCTAATGAAGTTTTATGGACAACGTTCTGTAAAAAGACTTCAGACCATATAATGAAATTTAAGACTTTCGTGATTCTGGAAAAATTTATTTTTAAAACTTAAAAATGCTATAAAATGAATATCTTCATATGTTTAAAATATTTTCGTAACTGGAAATATATGCATGTCATTAACGATTGTCAAAATAAAGACAACATAACAACTTTTATGGAAACTGTTTATTTCACTTTAAACTATAAACGCTTTAAATCTAATGAGGATATTACTCATGAAATGCATTTTGTCTTTTATTTTCTCATAGGACTGGAAACGATACTTGTATGTCTTTTTTAGATTCAATGACCATTTATGACGGAAAAAATTTTCTGTGTGGAAGCCAAACGGTTCCTGTTTCGAATTCCATATTGCTCGATAAGATTGTTAAAAAACAGCTTTAACAACTGAGACATGGAAAACCTAATTCGTCCTTCTGAATATTTACTTTATTGCTATTAAATAGTGTTGTTTAGTAGTCATAAGGCGACGTCATATGCTCTCCAGCATCCCATTTTCATTTCCGGCGGAACTCGTGGAAACATGCAAAGAGCAGTTCGAGTGCACTGAACACTTCCGCGTTTATAATGTTTCGTAGAATATTTTTAAAATATCCGTGTTCACGTTGTTTCTTAGAAAACCGGTACGCTTTTTCTAGACACTTTATATGCAGTGTTCAAAGATAAATTCTTTATAATTAACGAACAATTAATTATCAGGGAAACAAACGTTTGTTACAAACATTTTATTATCCGGAAAATTTCGAACTAAAAATGAAACGCTGATAGAACTTTAAAAATTCTGTTTAATTCGTAAAGTATTAACATAATGTATACTGTTTTACCTGCTATTCGTGTTGCTTTAGAACCAAGTCAAGAGGAGGAAAAAGAAGAAAAAAAGCTTTACTCGATTCGGTTCGAGCTCCAGTTCACAGCATTTGTTTTTTGTAAGTATATATTACAATAATTATTCTATTATTTTTTATTATTTGTTAATCAAAGATGTAGATAGAAATGACCCTATTTTATGGCCTTTATAATGAAATCTTTGTGGCAGTTAGAGAGAGAGAAATTTTTAATAATTTTATTCACTTTTACTTTTTTGGGTTAAAATTACAATCTAATTAATTTTTTAACCCTTCATCTATTCATTTCGCTTTCATAAAGTGTTTAGATTTCTAAGATGCAATAAATCATGAAATTTTTATGAAAAGATGTTCAATATTAAAAAATTTGAATTTAACAAACATTCTCAATTCGTAAAAAGCAAATTTAAAGTTAATTAAATTTTATGTCTCTTGCTTGCTCAACAGCTTTATCATATCATATTCTCCACGGATGCAATGTTGTCTTTTGTGAATGCTGAATCTGGACAAGGAGAATTCTCCTCAACACTAGTGTTTGTCTCCTTAATCCATTCAGACACTTATGCACGACTCATACACTTTTCACGATACTGAATTCTCATCCGAGAATGAAAACTGCTAAATTCAGTCTTTTGCTTGATAAAAATCTCACAAAACTTTATCGCTACTGTGCGGTACACTAATGCAAAGGCACCGTCATCTTTGCTTGCTCATGTTCTTACGCTTGCCGTAGGTGTGCTAATGTCACTGACCACCTCTTCGTAGCTCAAAATTGCTTTCTCATATACCAGATCAATCAATGGCACAGTTCGTACAAGCGATTTTTAATAGAATTTCTATAGTATCCTACTGAGCAGCCTAGTATTATAATTGTAATAAGCGTTATTTTTCACTGTGTAAAAACCGAGTACTGTCAAAAGGCTTAAAATCTTATTATGTCAGAAACATTTTTATACTCTGCAATCAGCTCAAAAAACATTGATTTCTAAGACCAATAATATATCACTGAATTTTACTGACACTTCTTTATTGTCCATTAATATTATCAGCAAACTTCATTGATAGCTTAATGGCGAATTAATGTAAAAACATTTTTCTTTTGTTTGCGCAAATGGACACTTTTTTAACCTGTATTCCAACGGGTTGTTCATGCATAAGTTTTATTACTTTGTAAGTATATAGGTATATAATGTCAAAAAACGCTACGGCGAATTGTAAATTTTAGTATAATGACTTTGCAGATTGAAACGAGAAATGCAACAGTCATTCTGTAATGATGTTGATAGCACTATGATTTTAGTTTAGAGATGGAGAGAAAATTCAAGTTAGTGTTCATAACCGTTGGCGGCCGTAGTATCAAAATTAGTAAGTGTTGCGATGTTCTCTTTAAAAGGCAATATGATGAAACACCTCTTGACGAGTAATTTGTTTTAAAAGTATTGGGTTTGTGCATTTGAAATGGCCGACATGGTCACATGTTCAAAACCTTAACGAAAGAGGATTCCTACTTAGCCAAAGGATTTACCTTAGTGTTCAGACATTTCAGTCATAGGTTCTACCAAACTATGAATCCCATCAGCACATAATCCTCGAAACTGTGACCTTGAGAATTCTTTGATCGCCTCAGATATCGCTGTGATTTTGAAATCTTTGACTGGAAAGAAAAGTGCACGGTGAAGGTGATAATTTGTTAGCGACAGATCTAATAAATACGTAGGTGAGGAACAGTTTCATAACTCACCTCGTGTAACATAACCTGAGTTATTTCGGGACACATGGTAATAAGTGTCATCATGCACACAAAGACAGCATGTCTTTTCATGAGTGCTGGCTGCTTCATATGAAATTAATAATTCATTAAGTATTTTCTGTGCAATAACGGCCGAATTTATGTTTCTACCTTGTCTAACCTTTTCCCGGGGGCTGGGACATATATGTCCCGCACGTTCACTACTTTAAATGTGTCTCAAGAAATTTCAGTAAACTATGGAGATTTAAAATTTACTCCTTAATGGATTAGGAAGTGCATACCCGTCGATTAGTTTTTGTCCTCAGTAAAATAGTGACTAAATGGCCAAAATACATTCGAAATTGGACCCTATAGTCCACGGGAAAAGGCTAAGGCTGACGTGGCGAAAGAAGCTAGCTACGTTCCAGAACTACACAAGCAAGTGCACTTGTTCAGGATAGAGAGGTAGCTTTAGGAATAGATGTAGTAATATTTTCTATAGAATTTTTATTTTTATGCGCGATTCAGCAGTTATTTTTGTTCTAAAATTCTTGTATTTATATGTATGGCTTTAAAAATGACAAATACGACTTGCAAAATCTCTTAAGTACATAACTAGATTATTTAATTTAGGCAAAGCATACGAAAGCTAATATTTACGCTTCATTTTACAACCGAAAACATCCAAGGAAGGAAATCCGAGGACCATAACCTTCTTCTCTACTACCAACATTTCAAGAAGACTGCCATATCAGTAATTTGAAGACCCCAGCTCCTTAATGGCCTTGAAACACATGTCCGTGACACACAGTTTTCAAGTTTTTTAAGGACCCCAGTTTTCAAGGCTTTCAACCCATTCTTAAGGGCATGCGTTTCCATTAACAAATCCAAGATGGCAAATCTCCAATGTGCAAAATGTTCTTTTCTCTTATTATTCTAATGTATCGAAGTGTGATATGCAAATGCGTAGGTGTACATGTATGATGTATATTAATAGATGTACATGTATGGTCATTGGAATAGGTATGTATAACAAGTGACTTTGTTATGTGACCATCTTGTGCATATTCCCATGCTTGCAATTCAAACAAACGAAAGCTTTGTTGATAATCATCACAAAGCCTAAAAAGTACCGAACTAGAAATTAGGTTGATTACACAGACCTAGCTCCATTTTACTTTGCATTTGATTACGGTTGTTAAGGTTTTGTCTTTAATAACTGAAAATCTTTCTACGAGGATCTAGAAGTAATTAACATCATAAGCGTTTTTTACTCTAGGAAGTCTTGCCAGCACACATAAGCTCAAGGAAAATTCATGTAGAAATTCAAGTTGAAAATTCATGTAGAAATTTAGATTTTGCATTTGGATTTTGCAATGAGTGTCTTCATAAATGTGCAAAAAGTTGAATATCAAATATATGTTATATATATGCATTTTTTTCTGATGTCTGATATTTATTATTATTTCAGTATGCTTTACATTTGTGGTTGTAATTCCAATATCCATGGTTGCTATTGGTAAGTATGAGTTGACTTATCTGAGTAGTTATTTAATGTTAATTTTTCGATTATCAAACAAGTATAAACATGATTAAAGAGACTTTTGTCTTAAATTTAAAATATTTTAGCACAGCTGTGAATAATGAGCCGTTAATATAGATAGATACATGATATATACAAAAGTATATAATGATAAACTTTGCTCTATATTGGCTGTCTAAAGGAAACGTATGAATATGAACGAATAATAATAAAAACACAAAATTGAGATTCGTTATCATAAAGGCCTCACACAGAAAAGAAGAATCCCCGTAAAACGCTTTTCTCATAAACACATTTTAAAGTAATTAAACACATTTTAAACCGATGACTCCATGTCTTATTCCGTTTAACAATATTGCATACAGCGCCCATTTCTCCTCTGGTAGTGAGTTTTTGAACTTTTTTTTTTCAGCGGAAAATAAATTCTTATAACCTCTTTTACATGATTTCCAAGTTTGATTACATTTGGTCCAGTAGTTTCCCTTTTATGACCATTTCAAAGTGGAACTTAAATTATAACCACCCTGTTTCTACTTATACATATATACTTATGTACTTACATACTTTATACATATTTATATATATATATGTGTGTGTGTAATATTGTGGCAGTCGGGCACATCAATGACGAAACTTGACATCAGAATTCCGGACATTGCTGTGACTGAGTGTAAGTAAGACACAAACAACACAGAAGAATTTAACTTTTTAGTTCCATATCTTTATTCAATGCAAATGGCAGATCATTCAAGATTACATATGCGATAGTAATTTAGACTGAATACGATTAACTTTAAATTTCCTGCGTCATACTATTCAAACAAAGAAAGACAGAGCGGCAGCAAAAATGTGTTACAGGCGGCAGGCGGAGAAAAACAATCTGACGGAAACTTTGATACTTTGTTATTTCTGATATGCCTCCTTCAGCAGGAAATATATCCCGCTATTACAGGCACCTCAAACAACCCCGGGTAGGGAAGATATAACATACAGTGCTTCGCAGGAATACCTTGACAAGGGACTGCAGGAAAATTGTGTAAATGTGGCCCAGGCCAGTGTAAATGAAAATGCCATTCTTTGAAACTTCAAAATTGGCTGAAAGAAGTTAAGATTATTTATGGGGAATTCTGATAAATATGGGTTGCATAGGGCCTTAAATTGATGTCAATTTCTAGGAGCTCGTACTTAAAATTGTCTGAATAATTTACTTCCGCGTTGGTGATGGCTTTCTTGAAAAAATTATTATTTAATTTATTGATGAATAACACCAGACTTTGAGTTTAGGTCTCTGAGTAGTGTTCATTGCGAAAGAACCAGGGGGTTCCTGTGATTTTTCGTAAGTAGTTGTTTTGGAAAACCTGCAATTTATTTAATACGGAGGTGGGAACAGAGCACCATGCAGGGGAGGCATATGTAAGGATAGGTCTTAATACTGATGTGCAAATGTGCTTCTTGGGAGCAAGATCCAGTGGTGAGGAGGCGTCAAGAAAGTTTCGGAGCTTCCTAGAGACTCCTATGGCTTTCCCGATGGTCATGGAAATATGAGGATCATGTAAGCGAGCCTTAAACGAACTCCCAAGTACGTAGCCTCTCTGACTTTGGTACTGTTTCATTAAAGAGGGTCAGATCTGCATCAATGTTTTTTTCTTCTGTGCCGTCCTATCAGTATAATTTCAATTTTGTGGCATTAATGGATGTCCTCCATTTGCGACACCATTCCTCTATCTCATGTGTGTGGTTTTGTATTCTGGTTATGGCATGTCGTGGATTAAGTGAACTAGAAAGAATGGCGGTATCATCCACATAGCAAGCGGTGATGCAGTTTGTATTTTCAATCATAGGGAAGTTCTTAACATATATAAGATAAAGAATAGGCCCAAGGATGCTTCCCTGGGGAACGCCAGCTTTAAGTAATGTGTTTTCATAATAAACATCGCCCTGCCTAACATAGAAAGATTGATCACTTAGAAAGGAGTGAAGAATCAAAATCATTTCCCTGGGGAGATCGAGGGAAGCAAGCCTGTAGATAAGTCCCTTATGCCAGACGCGGTCAAAGGCTTTTGCCACGTCCAGCATAAGGAAAGCAGTTGTCTGGTGCTTATGAATAGCTGCGAATAAACATTCAGCGATTCTGACAAGCCACATGGTGGTAGACAACCCTTTATGGAAACCAAACTACTGTATTGGAAGCGCGTTTAGGGCTGGCTGCAGTCTTCTGCAGATAATCTTTTCTAGGATCTTTCCCAGTGCAGGAAGCAAGCTGATTAGGCGAAACCCATCCACTCTTGTATTATCTTTTTCGGGTTTGGAAATTAAGATGACAACCGCTTGTTTCCATTCAGCTGGGAAATAGCACAGGTACAGGCAGGCGTTGTAAATGCTACAGAGTTTGTTAATGAAATTATCAGGCAGATGTTTAATCATTGAATTAGAGATTTTGTCCTTCCCAGGTGCTCTTCTGTTATGAAGTTTAGCTACAATAGAGCTAACTTCTGTGGGAGAGGTAAAAACAGGCAGTTTTTTTACACTGGGCTGGTTAATCCAATTATCGACAAGCATGCTAACGTGACTAATGAAATTTCGGTCTGAAGGGGTCTCATTTGGAGTGAACTGCTTGGCGAAGTGGGTGGCAAAGGCTTTTACTTTGTCTTCGTTGCTGTATTTGAATCCAGTGTCGTTCTGTAGAGGTTTGTTGCTTGTTTTTGTCGACTTCATTAAACGTAGGGACTTCCAGAATTCTCCGTCTTCCGCATTTAATTTATCGATTTTGTTATTCCAAAGTTTAATCTGGTGGGAGTCAATTAACCTTTTCATGTTGCGATTAAGTTTATTAATTTGCGATTTAATTGCCGGGTCACAAGAGTGAACGAAGATATTGCGGAGTCTATTTCGTGTTTGGGTAATTAATTTAATTTCTTGTGGAAGTTTGAAGTGATGTTTTTTATTAATAATTTTTGTAGTAGAATTTTGCAATGCCTTATCAATGCAGGTGGTGATGCTTGTGATAGCCTGGTCGATATCATGCGTATTTTTAAGTTGCTCTGTTTTGGAGAGGTGATTGTTAATTTCAGATTAGAATTTGCCTCAATCAGTAATTTTTTAAGTGGTGTTGGCTTCAGGCTTGCTAATACCCAGGTGTGCCAGAAATGGCACGTGATCTGAAGAAAGGTCATTGATTACTTCCGTAGTGATCGGTAAGTTATCAGATGTGAGGAAAAGATTCAGTATGTCTGGATACTGTCTTGGGGTGAGTAGGCCGGAAAGTAAAATCTTCTGGGGGGGTAAATGTAGTATGGGTAATTGAGCAGGAAGTTTTGAAGGATATCACCGTTTTTATTTGTTTTGCGGCATTCCCAGCTAACATGTTTAGCATTAAGATCACTTCCGATTTTGATGAGAAAGGAGTTAGTTAGTAAATTCTGTAAATGTTGATCTTGCATCCTGAGATCTGGAGTGTTGTAAAGGGCGCATACAAGCATATTTCCCCAATTTAGGGATCCGAACTACTACTCTTACTTCTTCAAACCCATGAGAATTGTCAGAAGCGTAGAAGCAGGAATCCAAACTTCGCTTAACATAGATTACGGCACCTCAGCCTCTATGACTGATCCTATCGCAGCGATAACTGTCATGATAACGCATTCCATGTCATGATCGTCACTGGGGTCATTTTTACTAAAGACCTATAATCCATAATTTATCTCAGCATCGGGCCTCACTGTGTTTTGATTTTCAGCTATGGCAGTTGTATTGTGTATAAGCGCTATAAGATCAGCGATGTTCTTCATGACCTGCTGAGCGTCCGCTACAGCTTTCTGAATTTTCCCAGCGAAAATATCAGATTGAACAGGCTGGACGTGGTATTTATTGATAATGACCCTTTCACCAAACTTGGGGGCATTGGGTTTCTGCTTATCGGAAAGGCCTCATAACAACCCCTTCGAGTTGCTGGATATGCTTCCCGAGACAGTTACAACATTTCGGCTCAGAATCTTTGGGTTCCGGGCAATTCCCAGTTTTCATGAGGGCCTGCACACTTACGGCAGCGAGGCGGGTGGTGACATGCCGCCTGCGCGGATGGTATCTTTGAACGTCGAAAGCAATCTGTCGGCCCGCGCCAGACCACTATATCTTTCGACTTTAATTGTGCAAGTATATTAGATATTTCAGATGGTATATCTCATTGTTCCTAGGGTTCTTAGAGAGAGTAACAGAAATAGGAGCATTTTAGCCCTATCTTTTCCTCTGTCCTTCATCAGTTGTTCCACTTAGAGCGCAGTGAAATCTTTTTCACGGAGCTTCTCCTGAATGTCCATGGGTTTCGCATCAATGGGAAGATTTCTTATCACGACTTTAAGATTCTTCTCCTCAGGGAGAAGGAACGAGTGATTTAAAAGTAATAAGAAAGTTCTTTTTTGTCGAAAAGGGCAGTCATGCTTCGGAAGGTTATCCGAATTTTTTGTGTGTATCTCATAGTTGCCTTCACCTTTCTTTTTCCGCGGTGAAATCGGTCAGTTGTTCCTTTTCAAGCAAGTTCAGTGAAAGATTTCCAGTTCGTACTTGCTTGCATTCTCGAATGCAAATCGGCGGCATTTTCGCCGTCCTGTGCGGGAAAGTGAACTGACCCTCGGTTCGGGTTGCTCCAGTCTGAGTTTCATGAGCATCACTATCCATTGTCCCAGCCGGGCACGTGACCTCATCCAAAATGTTGATTGGCCGAGCTACGTTTTCTGCCAAAGACATACTCGCGTGAGCTGACTTTTCAGCAGCCTCAATAGATGGCGCCACATTATCATGACTACTAGCAGCAACCTCGTGTGTTGGAGTGTTAGGACCATCCGCACTGAATGGTTGATGAAAGGCAGTGTCGATCATGGCAGACGAATCGCGTGGTTCTTCCTGAGCGGCGGGATTCAGAAGTTTCTCTTCCTGAGGAAAAGGATTCACAGATTTTTCTTTACCTTTTGGGTTTATAG